AAGGCCTTAACTATTTTCAATTGTGTTTGAAGTTCTTTATCATTCTTCGCCACCAGCTCTAAATCATCTACTTAGAAAAGATGATTAATTTTTTCCGTTTCCTTTTTATACTTATAGCCTGTTTCAGAGTTTTTGAGTAGGGTGCTTCAAGGGAATAACGTTAGGCAGAAGACTAGGTGCGATAGGGCATCTCTTTGAAACATTCCCTTTTTTATTGGTTTATTTTTTATGCTAATCGAGGTTGAAGAGGATATCAGGTTCAAGTCGGTGTTGTAGTGTTATATTGAATTTTTGAAGAAAATTATTATCTTGCTGGGGGCTTTATACGATACGTCTTCAGAGACTCAATGAGCCAACTATGTGGAGTACTGTCAAAAGTTTTGAGGTGGTCGATCCAGCAGACAGACAAATTCTTCCGTCCTTCTTTACAGTCCTTAACTCTCATTTTGCTTACCAAGAGGTTATCTTTACATCCGTAACAGTTCTTTCTGCACCCCCTTTGTTCTGTAGGAAATATGTTATTTTTTCTAGATGCGAGTATAGTCTGGCAAGTGGTAAGTTGATAGAGACGAAAGGGGGAAGAAAAGTGGGGCGTAACCCAAAAATATTCACTGACACCTCAACTGACACCGCTTGATGACAGCCATGTCTTTGGGTTCAGTAGCACCGAAAACACCAAGGAAATGAACCAATAAAATTATTAGATTTTTTTTTCAAGTTTCGCCAATAACCACGCCACTGTGCTGTCGTTCAGGCTCTAACCTTAGGCTCTAACCAATAGAATCATGCCTGTGAACAATCACGCCTCTCCACATCCCTAATTTCGCAATGTTGCCGGAATATTTTCTATTTCAAAATACCACACATGCCCATATAGCAAAAAAATAATGTCACCAACTTGTTTATTATTGTTTCCGTCAAGTTTGGCAAAGCAGCAAATTCTATTGCAGTTCGCCGTTTGGCTAGCCAGACAATACAGGCGTGTTGATATGCCCGTAAGTAGTTTGTATGTTGTGTTGAGGCAAGTTATAGGTCGATAGTTTTTGGCATATTCAGTTTTGTCGTTTTTGGTTATGAGAAACGTCTGCCCATTGGTGAGCCATTTGGGACCGGCCAGCCCATCGTTTAGAAGCGCATTATATTCTGACAGTAAGCTTTGATGAACTACTGTTAATCTTTTTATCCAAAAGTTGGGTATACCGTCGATTCCTGGTGCTTTCCAATTAGATGTGTTTTTCAGTATTTTTTGTAGTTCTTCTTCAGTGATGTCTTTCCACTCCATTTCGTTGATATTTCCATTATTTTTATATTGGTCCTGTATCCATTTTGCTTCAGTGTTGTGCATCACGCCCTTTCTCCAGATGTTCTTCCAATACTCTTCCAGTTCCCGTTCTTCTGGCATCTTTTCATAAGGAGTTAGATTTTTGTTCAACAGCATGTTATAAAATTTTCCTGGATTTTCTGCAAAAAGCTTGTTTTGTTGATACTGCTTACATCTTGTCTCGTAACTTTTCACTCTATAGAATTTCGCTGTTACAAACTGTTTTAGCTTTTTCACTGTCCTGTTCAAATCTTTGGTGTCTTCTACTTGATGTTTTTTGTATAATTCAACCTTTAATTTTTTTTCCTTGTTGCTTAAGTTGGTTTTTGTGTATCTAAAAGTTGCGATAACTCTTTTCTTAGGTCAGCGATTTTTTTCTGGATCCTAATTTTCCACGGAGGATCCCTTCTTTCTTTTTTCCCTGCTACTTTTTCCTTCAGGTCTTTTTCATTAATATTATTATTATTATTATTATTATTATTATTATTATTATTATTATTATTATTATTATTTAAACCACAGCAAGCGGTAGCTGCTGTATACGTTAAGTTCAGAAGATTGCTTTTTTAACGAGTTCACAAGATGTTTGTTAAGTAGTTTACCCAGAATAATGAATAAATGTCCTAGATATCAACCTGAGATCGCCATCAAGTTTATTTTTGAACGAGTTGGTACTGGGAGCTGAGACTGTTTCTTCACTTAGTGAGTTCCACGTATGGACCATCCTATTGCACAAGAAGTTTAGAACATCTTTCTTTTCTAGAGTGCCCTCGAAGATTGTGGTTGTCGCTTAGAGTATATATGTATATTTAAGTTGACAGAGTAGTAATTATTTAAGATTTTATAAGTTGTGATCGGATCTCCTCCTAGCCTCCTGTAGGGAAATTAGGTTGAACTCCTTCGGACGGTCTTCACATGCGATGTCTTGGGTTTCTAGTAGAATTTTAGTAATTCTTCGTTGGACTCTTTCCAATGCGTCAATGTCCCTAGCATAATATGGATTCCAGACAGACTAGGCATGCTCTAGTATGGGTTTGATGTAGGACTGGTATATTTTTAGGATTGCAATAACTGAGAATTAGCATTTTTGATATATTTTGGGATATGCGATTCTGATTTTAAATTGTTGGTTACAATGACGCCAAGATTTCTCTGTTCATTACAAAACTCCATCGTAATGTTATTAGGTTAGTAATCATATAGGGGATTGTTGGTGCCAATGTGGAGTACAGTGCGTTTGTTTTCATTAAGGGACATCAGCCAGTTCTCACATCACTCGGATACCTTCAGTAGGTCGGATGTTAGGTCTTCACCGCTGGTAATGGGATTGCAGAAGAGTTTAGTGTCATCTGCGAAAAAACTAACATTGGATTTTGAGATTAGTTGGCACGTCGCTTATATAAGGAAAATAATTGAGTCAAGTACTGAGCCTTGCAGGATTCCGCTATGAACAGAGTGTCGAGTCGAATAAGCGCCATTCTATAACCATAACCTGATACGTTCGATCGCTTAATCCAACCCAATACGTTCTTACGTAATCCAAAATGCTCAAGTTTGTAAAAAATACGATTGATTGGAATTTTATCAAAAGCCTTTTCGAAGTCTACGAGTATGACGTCAATAGATTGTCTCTCCGTCATTCAATTTCGTCCAGAAATCGAAATATGCGAAATATGTTAGTAGGTTGGTTTCAGTTGATATATTAGGCAAAAATCCATGCTGTGAAGACGGATGTTGTTTTCTATTAGAAAGTTTCTCAGATTTTTGGCTACCACTTTTTTTATAGATTTGCAAGTTTCACAAGTAAGAGTTATAGGACGATAATATTTTGGGGAAAGCTTGTGTCCTTTTTTATGAATTGGGATGATGTGGGCTTCTTCCCATTTTTCCGGCACTCTCTCGCTATTCATCAAGTTAGTCGTTGCCTGTGCAAGGGTCTAGCTGATTGATTTTTCACAAACATATATATATACCATATACATATACATATTTTTGCAAAAATATTGTTGGATTGTTGTCAGGACCTGGGCTAGAATCTTTCTTGAGGGCGAGAATCGGCTCCTCAACGATGTCTGGGGTAAAAACAACAGATGATGGGGTTGCATTGTTTTTTGAATTGACTGGTAGAGGCGTTATATTATCCGAAGGTTCTCGTGTAAACAATTTTTCAAAGTGATCAGCACCTTTGCAGAGGTAAAATTGTCGGTAATGATTTCCTCAGTGTGTTTGTCCCTTAGAGTTATTTTAGATAGTAGATAGGTATGGAATGAGTTTTTTTTCTTGAGATATTGCTAAGTCGCTTTCATATGCTTTTCTAGCCTCTCCTATTTCGGTTTTTGAATTGTTGTTCGCTCTTTGATATGATTCATAGTTGTCTTGGTTACGTTGCCGTTTCTTTTGTACATATCCATCTATGAAAAACCTTCCTGGTTTTAAGTGAAATCTGCCGTTCAATAGCCTCTTTTTGGTTTTTTTGATACGGTAACCGATTCACTAAGTCTGATATATGTTGATTGATTGCGTGATAGTCAGCAGTCCAGAAGTTTCTTTTCGCATCAGAATGAGCCTCTCCAAGGTATACATTCATTTGTGTATATGCTCGTAGGACTAGATGATCACTAAGTCCTATAGGTGGTTCACTGCAGATGTTTGTAAAAGTGTTTTGTTATTTACCACTGCTAAGTCGAGAAGTGAATGATGAACGCCTCTAAATCTAGTGGGAAAACTTATCAGTTGGTATTGGTAAGCATTCATTCTGACAAATATCAAGAAAATCGCTGGATGCTTATGTTTCGTTGTATTGTATTGCGATTTCCATCACTGAAAGTTGTTGGTTTAATCTATGGATGATGTTGTTTATTTCGTGCCCTTTTCTAGTGAGCCTTGATATTTCACTCTTCCGTCGAACAACCTTTCCGTTCAAACTTGACCTCGAGTTTAATTTTAGTTGTCAGAACTCTACGTGGTGAATCTGTTAATTGAGACATTTTCAAGATGTATATTTTTTTTTTACATAGAAAATACATGACTAACATAACAGTTATACATACCGTCTGATTATTACCTATGAGTTCTTTCCTGAAAGAAACTCTTAGCAGCAAATAGATTATGTTGTTGTAGGACGTAGGTATGCATAGACTGTATGTCAAGTTGCCAAGGATTTTCTCCAATTTGAAGCGTGGAAGTCATGCTGATAAAAAATTGCATTTACCCATCGTATCATTTGAACCGAGAAAAAAACCTAATAATCTGTTTCACCCTGTACCTATATATTGCGTCTTGCTATGCTTTCATGATTATAAGAGATTTGGGATGAAGATAATATTTTGCCAAAAAAAATATCTAAAAACTCCCGCTTACTCACAAATTCCCGTTAGGTCTTAACAAGAGAAAAAGTGTCCCGTAAACGCGACAACTCCGCATGGTGATTCCTGGCGTCCCGACGAGGGTGAGGCGGTCGCGTGGACCCCCGGCTACCGGGTGGGGATGAAAGTGGGGGTAAAAACGTGACCGAGCGCCGCTAAGGCCGACGTTTGATCAACAGGGTAAAAACACTTTCAACACACAACTGCCGCTGACACACGCGCTCGGCAATCAGCTGACGGTCGTTTGGACACGCGACTTCGTTTCCGATTTTTAGCTAATTTTTTTTTTCCGATATCAGTGATAAGTGATCATCATGGACCATTCGTTATCGCAGAACCCCCCTTTGCATTGGGGGTACTCGTCTTCGAACGCTTCTTCATCTTGGCAACCGGTTACTAGAGCCTCTAAAAGGCCTCTATCGGAAAGTGATTGTGATGATGTTTATTCTGAGGAATCTTCCAAAGATCAGTGAGTTTTTTTTTTGTTTTTATTATTTTTTTCAAAATTACTTTCAGCTTAGCTAAAATTTAAACAATTTCTGTTCTGATTTTATTTTCTTGTTTAGTTTTATTTCCAATACAAGTGATCAAAGTTTAGAGTAGTTTGAATGTCATCAAACGTTTGTAGATAGTTAGAATTATTGCACTGATAAAATTATAATAGTGACTTGAAAGAAACCATTTCATATAAGAAGAAAAGGAAAAATAATATTAAAATTTAATCTGAAACTCATTTAAAAATAGTAAAAACTTGAAATAATTTGCTTTTTATCTCGTTAAGGTGAACAATAATAAATAATGCAGCTTACACAGCACAGCTTATTCAAAATAAAAGTAATTGTGAAATACCAGAAACACAATAATTGCTAACATGACAAATTAACAATTAAAGAAGAAACTAAAAAAATTAAAAATTATAGGGAAAGAAGATAGAAGAAGATGGGGAAAAAAAAAACTCAAACAAATTAAGAAATTGTTGTGAAGGAGTAAAACTTGTTCAATGCAATTTAATTTTTCTTCCAAATGTTAATCTTTAATTTCATGAACGCGCTATAGCCTATGGCAAGTATAACAGATAACAGGATAAAAATAAAAACAATAAACCAGGGAATATCCAAATTAAAATGTTTTGATTATTTATTATTTTAATTAAATTTTTCAATGCCTAAACAGGCAACAGTAGTTGGGCGATTTTCATTGTATTTGTCTTGTTCTGAAGATAATTTAAAATAAACCGAAACTATGGCAGCGAAAAAACCGAGAAAAAACTACCCTTTCTTATTTAGCCATGTACTGCATAGATTGATATCTTGTAGACATCAAAAAATTCCATTACATTTCTAATTTTCAATAAATTTCTTTTTTTTGCAGATGTACTTCTCCTGGTGACACTGACAGTTGTCAAATGTTATCAAGAAAAAAGCGTCGCGGTGTCATAGAAAAGAAAAGACGCGATAGAATCAACATGTCTTTATCGGAGCTCAAAAGACTGGTGCCGAGCGCCTTCGAAAAACAAGGGTCTGCCAAATTGGAAAAAGCCGAAATTTTGCAAATGACCGTGGACCATTTAAAGATGTTACACTCCAAAGGTAATTGAACAATAGTATTTTATTGTTGATTTTATTCGCACGTTATTACAATTAATTACAATATCGCAAAAAATACAAGAAGAATTTGCCGCTATTAATTTCCAAGTCATATAAGCATAAGCCAATGTGGCACTAGTTCTAATTCTCAAATGCGGGGTGCAAAACATACGGTCGAATTCGAAACCTGTTGCCCTTTACCGCTATCAGAAAGTTCCCACGGAGGTCCGCAAATAGTGCAGCTGGTCTGTTTTCCTCATATCGCCGCCTATTCCCACGCCACTCTTTAACCCCTTTTATTCATTATTCCACCTGCTAATATACCGTGAATTTCATTTAAATGCCTAACATTAGTTAGAACACTGTTAATTTTTTTTTAAAACTTTTTTCTATTATTTTGTTGCTGGCAGTGGCGGATTCATTGGGGGCAGGGGGAGCAACTGACCCCCACTTTTTAAAATAAAAAAATAAAATTGAAAAAAAAACAAAACCATATTTTAAGTTTTAAGAATGTTTTTGTGCAACCATCCGCAAAATGAGCTTTCGCGGCCGCCACACAGTCCGCGAAATTCAATTTCGCGGCCGTTGCCCTTGGTGACGGCCGCGAAACTATAAATCAAAATTTGACACTTTGACAACAACAATAAGTAAATTTTATTTCCAAATTCTTCAGGACAACATAAATTATTTAGGATAAATATTAACACTTACATGACAGTTTGCATTATTACTAATATTTACTCCTGAAGCTGAAGCAACTAATAATCCAGTGTTTTTGAATTGAACTCTCAAAACTTCCCATTTCGGCATTAAATTAGCCAATATGCTTTCAGACACCATTTTGACGTTTTGTTTGTCACACCAATTTTTTGAACTCGCAGTAACAATTTTCATATTGCCGCTTAGTTTTCCAGGTATTAACTCAGAAATAGCTGATTGAACCATATTTTTTAGCTCTGGAGGAGTGCAAGAGAGTGAAACATCTGTATCGCTGTCGGATATTTTCACGATTTTTTGAGAACCGTCAAATATTTTTGTGTATTTGTTTACTTGCAAAATATGTCATCCATGACATCCATGGAAACGCTGTGCCACCATAGCCACCAGGTTATACATCAAACTGGTAATTAGTTCCACATGTTTGTTGAAAGGAGTAAATTTTTTCTATAATTCCACATAATTTTCATGGTTGCACAAAAAATAGTGTGTATACCATGACCGCGAAACTTTTTAGCGTCCTCGAGATTATCTTGCCTCGGCCGCAAGCGGCCTCGGCGATAACTTTTCTCTACGTACGCTAAAAGGCACTTCGCGGCCTTGGTATACAAATAACTATTAGAAAGCTGGAAACCTATAAAAAAAACACACTTTTGTCTTTGTCCCAAGAACTTTAACCTCGAACAGTATATCATTTATTAGTGGTTGAGTTGATTTATTGTTTTTTTTTTTTGTTCTAATAAATAAATATTATTTTAGGTAGATGAAAGGTGTAAATACAAAAGTTGTACAGTATTGGCTAAATTTTTAAAATCCATGGTCAAAAACAAAAATTGAATGTTAGAAATGTGAAATATTGCATGCTTTAAGCTTTTTTCAAATGGGATGCGCTATATGTATTTGGTTCTATATTCTTGAAGAACACAATTTCCCGATTCCAAAACTATATAGTTTGTTTATATTTGGTTGAGCCGTCTCCAACATATTTGGATCTAAAAATTTAAAAAATACTATCAGAGAAACCAAGTACCTCAAATTTTACCTGCAGCTTTCACCTGTATAGGTAGAATGGTTCACAAAATCAGTAGTAGAATAGTATTTTTACAATTTTTGGGGTCGAATATATAAGAGACTGCTCAACCAAATATAGAAAATATATACATTTTTGGAATCGGGGCATTGTGCGCTTCAGGAATATAGAACTAAATATAGGGCATCCCATTTGAAAAAAGGTGAAAGCATGCAAAATTTCACATTTCTGACATTCAAATTTTGTTTCTGACCATGGTTTCTAAAAATTCAGCCAAAACTGTACAACTTTTGTATTTACACCTTTTTTCTACCTGTGAAGGTAAAGGCTGTAGGTGGGGTGTCAATATATAAAAAAACAACCTGTATGTACAAATAAGTGGATTATTGCGGAACTTATGGGTGGACCTTTGCGGGACGAGCGCAGCGAGTTCCGCAGTCATCTACTCACCAATATACTGTTGAACTGTTCAAATAAGACACTCACGTGAAACGTGTAGTTTTTGAACTAATGAGAAAAATTCTCAACTGAGTGAATCAGGTTAGTATCGTACTTGGACAACATATTGGTGAATAGATAGCTGGGTTCACCCATAAGTTCCGCAACAATATACTCGTTTGTACTTGAATAACTTATCACAATATATTACTAGTTTGGTAAAGTAACATTACTAATTCCTGTTGAAAGGCAAATTGACAAAAAGTGGATAATCTTACAAATTCTGACTTTATATAATAAGTTATTGTTCAAGTACAAATAAGTGGATTGTTGCGGAACTATGGATGGACCTCTGCGGGACGAGCGCAGCGAGTTCCGCAGCCATCTAATTACCAATATACTATTGCACTGTTCAAGTAAGACATTCACCTGAAATGTGTAATTTTTAAACTAATAAGAATAACGCACATTTGAGTGTGTCAGTTTAGAATCGTAATTAAACAACATATTGATGAAAAGATGGCCAGAGGTCCACCAATAAGTTCCGGAACAATCCACTCGTTTGTATTTAAATAACTTATCACAATATATTACTAGTTTGGTAAAGTAACCCTACTAATTCCTGTTGAAAGGCAAATTAACAAAAAGTGGATAATCTCACAAATTCTGACTTTATATAATAAGTTATTGTTCAAGTATAGGGTGCTTTTTTATATATTGACACCCCACCTACAGCCTTCACCTTTACAAGTAGATGAAAGGTGTAAATACAAAAGTTGTACAGTATTGGCTAAATTTTTACAATCCATGATCAGAAACAAAAATTGAATGTTAGAAATGTGAAATGTTGCATACTTTCAGCTTTTTTCAAATGGGATGCCCTATATTTGGTTCTATATTCTTGAAGAGCACAATTTCCTGATTCCAAAACTATATAGTTTGTCTATATTTGGTTGAGCCGTCTCCAAAATATTTGGTTCTAAAAATTTTAAAAATACCAGACAAACCAAGTACAGGGTATTTGATTATATTTGGCACCATACCTACAGCCTTTACTATTTAAGATAGAAAAAAATTTTAAATACAAAACTTGACAGTTTTTTTCTATATTTTCTTTTGACAGTATCAGAAAAATCAAAATCATCGGAAAATGGAGAAACGTAGACAACTTCTACTTTTTTCAATGGAACACCCTGTATATTATGCGATAAAATTAAAGATCTTTTCTTCCTGATTCCAAGTATATATATATACTATATACTGATTATATTTGAGTGAGTCGTTTTTGATATATCTTAGCTTAAATTTTAAATAAAATCCAAGGAAATTTTATGAAAATTTAAATGTCCTTGACATCCATATGAAATTTCTTTGCAAATTTAAGCTAAAATATTTCAAAAGCGGCTCACTCAAATGTGTTCAATATACAGGGTGTCCCATGATGGATGGCGTATTAGACGTTTATGGGAAACTAAAAAACGGATCATTTTGAAAATTTGGCAACCGGGATAAACGACCATAATCTACACTTTAAAAATATTTTTGTTTATGCGGTGTTGCCGCATCTACTCTAAACCAGTGTCAACATCGCTATTTGAAATGGAAAACCCTATATGTGATTGCATATTTGGATTCTACGTAAAATTCTGAGCAGATTTCATGTGATATACCCTATACCTAAATTCAACTGTTTTGAAAATATTGACAGTTGAAAACTGACTTTTTGCAATTTTGACAGGCTGTAAAACCTGAACGGTTAATTTTAGAGAAAAAGCGATTTCACATTCCTATCTTAAATTTTCATGAACTATCATTTCACACCAACTTTGAATTTAACCGGAGATTAAATTTAAGTGGAATTTTTAATCATAAATTAAATTCGAAGTTGGTGTCAAATTATAGTTTACAAAAATTTTCAACTGCCAATATTTCCAAAACAGTTGAATTTAGGTATAGGGTATATCACATGAAATCTGTTCAGAATTTTACGTAGAATCCAAATATGCAATCATATACAGGGTATTCCATCTAAAATAGCGATGTTGCCACTGGTTTAGAGTAGAAGCGGCAACACCGTATTCCATCTAAAATAGCGATGTTGCCACTGGTTTAGAGTAGAAGCGGCAACACCGCATAAACAAAAATATTTTTAAAGTGTAGATCATGGTCGTTTATCCCGGTTGCCAAATTTTCAAAATGATCCGCTTTTTAGTTCTCCATAAACCTCTAATACGCCATCCACCGTGGGACACCCTGTATATATATTTGGAATCAGGAAGACAAGATCTTTAATTTTATCGCATAATATACAGGGTGTTTCATTGAAAAAAGTTGAAGTTGCCTACGTTTCTCCATTTTCCGAACCGATTTTGTTTTTTCTGATACTGTCAAAAGAAAATATAGAAAAAAACTGTCAAGTTTTGTATTTAAAATTTTTTTCTATCTTAAATAGTAAAGGCTGTAGGTATGGTGCCAAATATAATCAAATACCCTGTACAGGGTGGGCCAATTTGGACACTTCCTTATGGAAACACCCTTTATTTTTAGAGATAGAAAAAAATTAACCCCCCACTCTGAGGCTCAAATTTCATGAAATTTTGATTGGTGCAAACCGCTTTTTGATATCTTCAACCGTTTAGCCGCTAGAGGGCGATTCTCGATTTTGAGCAGTATTGTGAACCTTTCATAACTTTTTTGTTTATGAAAATAATTGATTTCTGTAAAAACTTTCTGGAAGCACTTTTTAAAACAGAATTCAGGGACGTTCTCAGTTTTTTTCTATTTGGCGCCGATTTTGAGATATTGACCAAAGTCTGATTTTTTTCAATGGGACACCCTTTATATTAATAGCTCATTGCAAAGCTATGATTTTTCTGATTTTAATGGTATAAAGTTCGATAGGTTTATTTGTAACCGTTTTCGAGAAAAAAAATTATTTTGGTTTTTGTCATAAGAAACAATGTATTAAAAAGAGACCTTTTTCATTTTCCTTACAGATATAAAGTCCTTTTCTAACACATTGCTTCTTATGAGAAAAACCGAAATTATTTTTTTTCTCGAAAACGGTTAGAGATAAACCTATCGAACTTTATATCATTAAAATCAGAAAAATCATAGCTTTGCAATGAGCTATTAATATAAAGGGTGTCCCATTGAAAAAAATCAGACTTTGGTCAATATCTCAAAATCGGCGCCAAATAGAAAAAAACTAAGAACATCACTGAATTCTGCTTAAAAAAGTGCTTCCAGAAAGTTTTAACGGAAATCAATTATTTTCATAAACAAAAAAGTTATGAAGGATTCACAATATTGCTCAAAATCGAGAATCGCCCTCTAGCGGCTAAACGGTTACAGATATCAAAAAGCGGTTTACACCAATCAAAATTTCAGGAAATTTGAGCCTCAGAGTGGGGGGTTCATTTTTTTCTATCTCTAAAAATAAAGGGTGTTTCCATAAGGAAGTGTCCAAATTGGCCCACCCTGTACATACCTTAAATTTTACCTGCAGCTTTCACCTGTATAGGTAGAATGGTTCACAAAATCAGTAGTAGTAGCATTACAATTTTTGGAGCCGAATATATAAGAGACTGTTCAATCAAATATAGACAAATTATATATTTTTGCAATTGGGGCATTGTGCTCTTCAAAAATATAGAATAAATATAGGGCATCCCATTTGAAAAAAGCTGGAAGCATGCAAAATTTCACATTTCTGACATTCAAATTACCTGTAAAGGTAAAGGCGTGTCAATACATAAAAAAACACCCTGTACGTACCTATTTAAAATCACCTTATTCTCCTAAATATTTCCCCCATTCCCATATTTTTATGGGACATTCCTCCGAGAAACCGTATCTTGCACAATGCGCTGCCAAAACTAACCCAAACTAACCTAATCTGGCTTACTTTAACTTAAACTGCTCCCCCCCCTTTCAAAAGGCCTGTATCCGCCTCTGCAGCGTTGCTACCTTTTTTTAGCGAATCTACTAGCTTCTTTGTCTGAATCTACTAAAAATCTACTGAAACAATTTTGAAAAATACCAAAAATCTACTCTTAATCTATAGGTTTGTTCCAACTCGTCAAAAACCCGTCCCAGAACGGTTCCGGAATCACTCTGTATACGAATTTCGGTTTCGACGCAAAAACTTTAGGTTTTTTATCGTATTTTATAGAACCGAATGTAACAAAGTAAAAACTACCAGAATCTACTAGATTTTCTACTAGAAATTCTGTCTACTAAAATTTTACAAAAAAAGCTGGAAATCTACCAGAAAAGTAGAAATCTACCAAAGGTGGCAACAGTGCGCCTCTGGGTTGGTGGATTTTCAAATATTTTATAAAGATTTTATCGCTATTTGCTTTAATGATTTTTCAATTATCCATTCGGACAAAACTAATTATTAGTATTTTTCTTCCAGGTCTGGATACTTTTGCTTACGACCCACACAAATACGCCGTAGACTATCACGGAATGGGCTTTAGAGAATGCTTGGCAGAAGTTTCCAGATATCTAGAAAGAATTGAAGGAATGGACTCGCAAAACCCAATGCGATTAAGGCTCACGTCTCACTTACAATGTTGCGCAGCCCAAAAGGAATTGGCATTGAAACAAGCAGCGACAGGACCTTGGTCCTACGGAAGTTCTCAAACCTACCCCCCTACGTTAAATCCTTTAGCGTCACCCAATCATTTAAATTCGCATCAGCCGCCCCCATTGCCGCCTCCAATTCATCATCAAAATATGCATCACGATTTAGGGCACTACGATGTAACGACGTCGTGTGCTCAAAGTGTACCTGGTACTGACACTAGCCGATTAGCACCTTCTACATCGTTGTTGACACCTTTGACTACTACCACATCGACTGCCTTAGCGTATAGTCCGCACCATCAATATCCACCACCGGTTAATTCTTTTGGAATACCACCTAGTCATCATCATCAAAATTATGGTCAAAGTATTCCTACCTCTCAAAGTATGAAACCTTATAGGCCTTGGGGTGCTGAGGTAGCTTACTGATGATTGTAAAAAGATAGATATGAATTTATTTAAGTGCCCCTAGTGCCGGATGCCTTTTTAATGCTTTAAAAAAGTTTTATGGTGATTTGCTCAAGAAGAAGATATCAAGAGAAAAATGTGATATTAGCTCAAACCAATCATTCAACTAATATATTTTTACTTCCAATAGAAACATGACTTGATGATGATGATGTAAATTTTAATGCTGGGAGTAAGCAGACCAAACATAGTATATAACAGACTTATTATCAAAATCATATAATGTAGATGTGATTTTCAGTCTTGTTTTGTTAACTGATTCTGGTCAAAAGTGATATGCACTTGCACTATATAGTGGCTTTAGTCATTTGCCGTACCTTATTATTATTATTTAATTTATTATTTTTTTTTGTGTACATATTTAGATTTTAAGCAGAGATGTGGAAAAACGATGTATATTTTTTTGTAAAAGCGTTTATAAGGAATTCACATGATTGTGAAAATGTGATTTTCGGAGTTATATAAATAAAATATTTTTTAAATTATTTTCATAAATAATGTTTTTTATTGAGGCATACCTATACTACTGGACACTGACGAGAGAAAAATGTTAATGCGCAACGTCAGTGAATGAATGATGACTCTTTCTGTAAATACACGGATGAATAATTAATTTTTAATTGGTTCGCCATCTTCCCTCGTTTTTCGTTAATGTTTGGGATTCTTAAAAATCAGAAATATCAAATTAAAACCGACACTTTCTTGACTTCAATCCTCTACGATAATCATGATAAATCTGATACCCTCTGTAATAATAATAAATACTCACAACATACGTATTTTTTCAAAGTTTTTTTTACCAAAAAGAGAAATTAGTGTTAATTCTCAAGATTAGTAGTCATACCTTATAAAAATTATAAAGAACATATTCTAACAGTAATGACCATTAAATTCAAAATGTTATAGATGGTGATAGTGAATGTCTTTGTTGCTATACAGGGTGGTCCATTCAACTTACCGGCGCGTTTTTGAATAAAAAAGTTCAAATAAAAGTTGTGTCAAAATCATTTACTTTCCATAGTGACACCATACAGGGTGGGGCACGAAAAACTTCCCACCCAGGTTTTCTCAGGTGTTAGGTGATTAATTAAAAATCGCTCGAACACGTCAATTTTTGTTTTTTTGGGGACACATTTTATTGGTTTTTTCACCCTCTACCTGTCAACGCCTAAGTGAGGGTGACAGGTATCCCCAAAATTTCAAATGAAAAGGGGGGTCGAGTGATACGTCATTTGATAGCTATTTTCATTAAGATTATATCCCCTAAGTTTTAAGTTCCTACTATTTACCCTGTCGAAATGGCGGCTTGTAGAGTTAGGAAAAATCAATGGAAAAATGCTGTGGGGTTTTTACCTGTTACCTACGCATAGGTGTGACAGGTAAAAACTATACAGTTTAGATTATCGAAAAAAAGCATTTATCCTAACTTTGACATGCCGCCATTTCGGCAGGGTAAATAGTAGCAACTTTATGGATATAGTCTTAATGAAAATAGCTACTAAATGATATATCACTCGACCCCTCTTTCCATTTGAAATTTTGGGGATACCTGTTACCCCCACTTAGGGGTTGACAGGTATGGGGTGGAAATACCAATAAAATGTGACGTATTTGAGCGATTTTTGATTAAACACCTAACACCTGAGAAACTCTGGGTGGGAAGTTTTTCGTGCCCCACCCTGTATAACTTTTATTTGAACTTTTTTTTTTTCAAATGCGCGCCGTTTCGAGATTCTAGACTATCTCAAGTTGAATGGACCACCCTGTATATGTCGTTTACCTATTGAGTGGCAGTAATTAATATCCTTTTCAAATTTTTGTTTGTTTTCCATCAATATGAGTATAAGTTCTGAAGTATGTTTTGCTCTGTCGTATTCCATTTTTTTCTTGATTTGTCTGTTTTTCTCCGTGTGTACCTACTGGCGTTACTTTTATCCTATTTTATTCCTTTTCCCATCAGTTGAGCGATTTTATCATTTCCTGTTTTTCTGATGGTGCAGGCCTTTTTTTTTCGAGTTTAATTTTGTATTTTGTTCATTTACAATTTCCATTATAGTAATTCACCATATTAGTTAGGTTAGAACATCAAATTGGCGCGGGTTCCTAGTTCAGAAAAGAATGCATTGATGTCTTATGGGGACTCAATTACAAGAGCGTCTGTAGACGTGATAGAAAGTTTGTTAGGGAAGTAAGTTGTATACATAGTTTTTTTAATATGTTAATTGACTGAGGGAGTGTTTGAAAATTAAATAAACATTGTTAAAATAAAATATTACAAATTTAGGAAGGCGATCTTTGTATAAAATACGTATATCATTGCTTGATCCATAAATATATAAAGGTAACTATATACCTCTAATTATAATAAAATAAAAATGTACCCATATAGTTCGTTAGTATACTTCAAAAATCTAAAAAAATCAATGATCAAATAAATAAACAACTCACACCGACAATCATAACACAACACACAACCTCATTTTCTTACAGCTGGTTTAAGACCCGACGTACGTCCACGGAAAACAGGCAATTTTAATTATAATCATTTGTATTTTTAACTCGTAGGTCTAAGAAAAAAATTAGAGCATGAATTGTATAGAGAAATTTGTTCAAAGTTTGACGTATAAATAGGTTCAAATACTAAGAAATGCCCAGGACCCGAGATATTCCCGTCTGAAAATTACTCTTTTGAATCCCCCATAAGAAATACATTGCTGTCAAATTTGTTGAAATGTATTTAGGAACCCATTTCAAATGTCGCGCCCGATTTTTCCTAACCTAACTAATATGGTGAATTGAGTTTGTTCAGTGATAAAGCATTTCCCTTAGAACTATTTCTTAACATTGTTTATCTTCGATTTGTTTTGGTTCTTCGAATATTCCAATATTCGAAAATGTCAAATGATCTGAGAAAATAAAGCGTTACGAAATTGCATTGGTAGGTTGTAGTTTGTGATGGTTGGGGTGTTTAGGTTATGGAGCCCACCGCACTGCGACCTGATAATATCTATCTTGCCACCCCTTATATCTGGTAGATTAAGGCTTTGGAATAGCCCATAATGTTCTTGGGATTGGCTTCTTTCACATCCACAGCCGTTAAGTAGGTCTGCTCCAGATGGATGAGTCTTCTGCGGCACAATGCTTCACAGTTGTAAAGTATGTGTTCCGCAAAGTCAGAGGTTTCTTCACAGAAGTGGCATAGGTCTGATTCTGTTTTACCCATCTTTTCCAGGTGGTTACCCAGAAAGCAGTAACCAGTAAGGAGGCCTGTAAGCAGCCTTAGATCCGCTTTACTAAGGTCAATAATTTCCTTTGCCTTTGTTGACTGATGAATTGTTTCGCCTGTCTAAACTTAGAAGCGTATTCCAGCCTTGTTAAGCCTTTACCCAATTCTGGACTTCTCCTATTATAATAGTCCAAGCAATAAAGGAAGTTTACCTCAACATAATTAGAAGTTAACATTTTTTGGGGGGGATCGGTTCATTTTCATGTGCTTAATAACATATTAAGTTTGCGACCTTGTACTTCCATAGGGTTTTCAGTTAGGGGTGGTTTTTAGGGTTAATTTGCAGTTTATGGAGAACACTGCTCAAAAGGATGGTCCAATAGCAAAAAGTTTCAAATTAATGTTGTAGCTGAAGCTTTTTGCTATAAAAAACTCAGCGACAGCACCCCTCTATCTTCTATAGTTTTTTTTCTGCAGCGTCTTGAATAGCAGCATGTTTTTTGTTCAGGGTCACTGAATCAACGTTTTGCCATTTTGCGCGCATTTGTTGCAGCAGCGGCCGAATGCATAATCCGATTTCAATTTTTCAAATACCACATTATTTCTAATGAAATGCACTCTCCAATGCTTTTTTGTTCGAATTTTTTGCTTGAAAATTAAGCGAGCACGGACTTGTCTAATGTGCGAGGAAGTTGTAAATTGCATCGAAAACTACCCCTTTCTTGCTTCACTCTAATTTCTAAACGGGGCCAAATATTTGGTGACAGTTTTCGACAATCGGCAGCCAATTTATTCCTCTCATAATGCCCCAGCGGATTTTTTTTTTCGTTAATCACTTAATGACTTATTGGCCTGAAAACGTCGCGCGCGATTTTTCAAAAAGTAAAAAAAAATTAAAATTGTCGCATAGCGCTGAAATTTGGTACGATGGCTTTATTTATTGTTCTCATGATTATACTGCAATTTTATATCATGTGAAGCAATTAAAATTGCAGTATATTCGTAAGAACAATAAATAAGGCCATCGTACCAAATTTCTGCGCTATGCGACAATTTTAATTATTTTTTACTTTTTGAAAAATCCCGCGCGACGTTTTCAGGCCAATAAGTCATTAAGTGATTAACGAAAAAAAAAATCCGCTGGGGCATTATGAGAGGAATAAATGGGCTGCCGATTGTCGAAAACTGTCACCAAATATTTGGCCCCGTTTAGAAATTAGAGTGAATGCAAGAAAGGGGTAGTTTTCGATGCAATTTACAACTTCCTCGCACATTAGACAAGTCCGTGCTCGCTTAATTTTCAAGCAAAAAATTCGAACAAAAAAGCATTGGAGAGTGCATTTCATTAGAAATAATGTGGTGTTTGAAAAATTGAAATCGGATTATGCATTCGGCCGCTGCTGCAACAAATGCGCGCAAAATGGCAAAACGTTGATTCAGTGACCTTGAACAAAAACATGCTACTATTCAAGAAGCTGCAGAAAAAAAACTATAGAAGATAGAGGGGTGCTGTCGCTGAGTTTTTTATAGCAAAAAACTTCAGCTACAACATTCATTTGAAACTTTTTACTATTGAACCATCCCTTTGTGCAGCGTTCTCCATAAACCGCAAATTACCCCTAAAAACCACCCCTAACTGAAAACCCTATGGAAGTACAAGGTCGCAAACTTAATATGTTGTTTAGCATATTAAAATGAACCGATCCCCCCAAAAAAATTTCAACTTCTAATTATGTTGAGGTAACCCCTCTTTTCAGATCTCCGTTTCTTGGACTATAAGGCGTTTCGTAATGCCAAAGAAAGGTTCTAGTAGGAATGGTGTTGCAGCTCCTTGTCTTGCAAGTTGGTCCGCTATTTCATTCCCTCGACTCCTTGATGTCCTGGTACCTATGACAGGGTGACTATTGCAAGACACCAGTTGCTTTAGGAGTTGTTGGCTGTCCCATACCAGTTTGGACTTATTGACAGAGCTACTTGGAGCTCTAGTGCTGCCTGACTGTAGGAATTGATATATCTTTGCAGTTCTCTTTTTAGATACTTTCTAGCGCAAAGTTCTATTACGAATATTTCCACTTGAAATATGGTTGGGCTTTCTCCTGGGGCTGTTGATAGTCTACAAAGTGGGCCGTATACCCCTGTTCCAGACCCTTGCTCGGTTTTCGATCCGTCTGTCAACCAGACGGATAAGACAGGAATACAGGTACGATATTTTCTCCCTTGCGGCCTTCAATAGTTACTTTGAAGGAGTGTTCAAATTCATGCCTGTGATCAACTAGTTTTGTCTTCACATCTATGCATTCTTTCATTATGTGGCCGACAAAGTGCCCTTCCTT